GTCCGACAGTCTGCAGGCAGACCTCCTCACCTCCCCGCACCGGGCATGGCGTGGAACCTTCTCGGGGAGTGAAGTCACCTTGGTCTCCGTCGTGCTCGCGGCAACGCCCTGCTGCAGAGATATTATACGCAGCCAGAGCCCAGCACCGCGAAAGGGTACGGACCCCATCGCTGGAGTAAACTGCAATACCTATAACGTGTAATTGTCATTAAGTTCTTATCCACAGTCACAGAAAACAAAGCATCTGAGGGCACACACAACCACAACGGGGCATCAGAAAACAAACAGACAAGATGACTGCTGGAACGCGAAAGTGCACGGCTGCCCACGCTGTAAAAAGCCGCGGGACATTTGCTGAAAAGAAAAAAATGTGTACATCCGTCTTCCGTTATGCACTCACTCAAAAACACACAAAAAAGCTGCACGTTGGTGTGCGTGTCTTGCCCGAAGATAATAAAATAGGATACACTCGTTATAGTCGTTTAAACACCCGGTGCCCACACATTATTTATATTCCACTGGGGCACTCGGCGTGGTTTCGTGCCCCCATTCCATTGTCTCTTTTATTAGCCGGCGCCATCGGCGTGACACACAATGCCGAGAGCGTCTCTGATCAAACAAACAAACAAAAACAAGAACACTGAGTAGATCCCGCCGTTGTCGGAGGACCACAAAAAAAAAAAAAACGCCGTGCTGGCGCTGGGGAAAGCATGCTTCCGCATGGAGGAAGAGCTCTGCGCAGCGAAGGGGATGTAAAATAAAATTAAAACCAGATAAAATGAACGGTGCATCCACAGAAAGCGACAATTACCTAAAAGAGTGCGTGGACAGATGCATATGTTCCCGCTGGAAGCAGGAAGTCCTCACCGCGATTTCTCAGTAAAGGGCCACAAAGGCGCAAAAACCCAGCAGCTGCAGAAGAAGCACCCGAGAAACGCCCCCACGCATGGAGCCGTCACCGTTACCTTTTTTATCGTCGCTCTTCTTGACCATTTTTAGTTCACCGACACTCAGTGGGTGGTTGTACAGAAAGACCTCCGTCACCGTCACATTGCTGTTGATGTCTCCCTCGCCTCCACCAAAATAGAATTGTGTGATTTCATGTCCCTGCGTCTCAAGTGTTGGTATCGTCTCTGGGCTCCCCACAATCTTACCATTCACGTACATGAAACCCTTGCCGTCCGGCAGCATGAGCGCCACCTGGTATTCTTCCCCGGCTCCCGCGTGCTCCCCGATGCTGTTTTTGTGCCGTCAAACACTGGCTCCCACGTTTTATTCATGCCGTACGACGGCCCAATGATCTTCGCGCTGGGACCGTCCCCCAGACCCGCACCCGGCAGAGGAGTGCTCCCCTTCGGAACCTGGTGGATGGTCGCCGTCGCCACAAGGGTGAATCTGTGGTTCACAAAGCTGTACTGTCTGTTATCCTCCCGGCTGTTCACGGGTCACGTTGCCATGGACCCAGGCCCCGTGAACTTAAACCCGTTTTTGACTCTCGCTGCCTTCGTCACGGATGCATTCACGCAACGGTAACCGTCGTTCCACGTGACATCGCCGGACGACGTATTGGACAGGAATCCAACCAGACCAGCCGTGGGTGTGGACGACTCGGAAAAGGAGGCGTCAAGCTTTGCCCAAGTACTGAGGGTGGAATTGATCGTCTTCAGCTCCTCCGTCAGGCGGGCAAGTGAAATGGCTGTGCTTTCATGATCTCCCTTCGCTTGTAAAAGGTGCAACGCATCATCCGAGTACAGCATGGTGTTGTCAAGCGTCTTATTCACAACACTGTCCTCAGAAACCGGTCCGATGTGAAGCGTGCGGTTGCTATCCGTGGCTCAAAGGTAGAGCGCATTGGGTTCACTCGTTTCCAAGGGATGGCTAGTTTTATGGGTGTACAGCATGACCCTCCTTCCCTCAATGGTCGCGGTGACGAGGGCTTCCACACGCAGGCCTTCCTTCTGATAGGCTCCTGATGGTGCGTTGACCCAAATGCCCGGGAGTCTTCTGACAGCCCCCTTCCACATTGTCCTCAAGTCACGCGACTCGTACACCCTCTGGCTGCTCTCGCAGTCAACAATCATGAGAACTGATCCCTCCCATTCGGTGACGCGGGGTTAAGGCATTCCGCAGGGGAAATGTCCTCAGAGAGCGCCCAGCTGCTGCCGTTGTCCTTCGAGTAAATAATCATGGAGTAAACGCCATCATTTTTTTCATTCACCGCCATCAGAAAAAACACAATGGTGCCATCCTCCATCAGAGCACCTGAGCCACCAGAAGCAAGGCACTCCGTCAATTTACCTTTGTGAGCGGCAATAGTACTCTCGTTCAACGGAGACTTGATTTCGCCCCATTTGATCCGTTTACTCGACTCGTCGCCCGTGGGATTCGTGACCTCACCAACAACCAGTTTTATTTCCAAGCTGCCCTCTTCCCAACTCCCATTTACATAGGGCAAGGCAGTGCTTCCCGCAAGAAGAAACACCTTGTCGCCCTTCGTGATTGTTGTGGGGCGGAGCACAACATCCAAGCTCCCCTCTCCCTCCGCTTTACCAAGCACAGTGTGTGCCCGCCATTCTTTCTTTATTGACCTCACCAACAAGAGTGGGCCATTCCCACGAAGAGTCGATGTACCCCGCAACAACATCAAAAGACGGCTTAGTTGATTCGGTATGGGGTTTTTGGCATTTATGTGACCTTCGGCAAAAGCAGCAATTACTCCACCAGCACTGACGAGAGAGGGTGAAACAAATGAATCCCTCCCACTTGAGTCAGTCCCCTTCTTCGCCAGCACCTGCGTCGTCTGCGGCACAAATAGATCGACCCGTTGCAGCCCCTCAACATCCCCTGAAGCACTCCCTCTCCAGCAATGGCACCCGTCAATTTCGACCCAGAAGGAGTTGAAGCATCAGCATTACTTCCCACACCAGCGGTCGCAGCTCCACCGCAGCACATCATCACGACGAGAAGGAGCAGCACCGTGGAAGCAAACACACACCGGAACATGTTGGGCCTCTGCGGCTCACTCTCTCCTCCTTCCCTCCTCCTTCCGCTGGATCCGCTCACGCGGCGACGGTTGTGTGTGCGGGATGCCACCACAGCAGCAACACGTTAGAGCATATAAATATGTGTGTGTGGGCGGTGTGTGTGTGCTGTTGGCTTTCAGAGCCTTACAATTTCACAGTGGCGAGTAGCGTCTTGTTTGCTTTCTTTCCTAGCGTGTCTGTGTTCAAGAGGTAGAGGGAAAAGGGAAAACAAGCCAAGTAAAGAGATGAGACAGCGAGCACCGCCACCCCGCACCGGCCATCGCGGGCGTCACGGCGAGCCGTCGGTGTGTGCGGGCCAGCCCTCGCGCGGTGCAACACGCCACACATCCAACAGGGAATGACAGACAGACAGACAGAGGGTGATGGATGGATGCCGCCAAGGCGCACTCACAATCAACATGGCCCGTGAGCATGCCGCTACTCCACGCAGAAACACAAGAGGAGAGGATTAAAGGAGAAAAAAGCAAGAAGCAGCAAAAAAAAAAAAGCGCACGGAAGGAAAAAACGACAAACTGGAAAAACACCGCCACGGCCCTCGCCCTGACCGGCGACTCCACACCAGCCCTCTCACACACTAACACCATCGCAGTGCCGTCAGTCCGCGGGTGAGAGGATTCGGCCCTCCACACAACAAACACACACACCGCCAGCAGCCACCCGCCATGGAAGAGGAGAAGAGACGAAACGCCACCATCGCCTCCAGTTCAATCCCACGGCCAAAGGGATACGGCCACAGCCCCGCAGCCAACACACAGCGCACGCGGAGCAAGCAACCACCCAAAGAGCCGCACGCGGAAGCGGATCCTCACCCAGCCACAACGCGCCGCCTCACTCCATGCGTTCACACGGAGTGCATTGTTTCCCAATGGAACTTACTCCTCGTCCACCCCTTAAAGATGCTTTACTCAATGATCGGTCCTATAACAAAATAGAATAAAATGGAAAACGTATCAACACTACGATGCAGCTAAAGACAGTAATTCCTTAATAACAGAGCAATTCTCTTATTACGTCTTGTATACAAACGGAAAGATTCACATAAATAAAAAAATCCTTCAATATTTTCTTACCATTTATTAAAATGCCCCTTGCATCCCTGATTTGTTTTTCTGTCGTTGTGAATGAACATCGCGTTGTAATTTTTTTGGCATCTGTGCGTCTTACTCCCAAAGGGGATGGTGCACCGGTGCCGTATAAGAAAACAAACATTCACATTTATTAAACAACTCGATATATGTTTTTCACCAAAAATATAAATTTCCCCAATCCCTCCCTAATTTTCTTCTGTCACTGCTGTTATCACTCGCGTTGAACATTATTAACACTTCTGTGCCGTGCTGCCGCCTGATGCTGGTGCACCCGCAACGTATGCAGACACAAGTGTCTACATATATTTATATATATCAAAAAAAAATTTACCACAAATCAAAATGTCTCTTTCACTTTTCATTTCCTAATCTGTTTCCTGTTGTTGTTCTTCCACAGTTGGGGGAGCTTCTTCTTTTCCTTTAAAGTCTCTGGATGATACAGACACTTGGTACTGGTGCACCTCCTCCTCCCAGAACGCCACAATCTCGTTTTCAGCGTCGCTCAAATTATCGGTAACGACGGGACCACATCTCTGCCATTCAATCATCGGCGTGCTGTCTGCGTGCTGTATATAAATAATATTCCACGACAATCCCTCAGAAAATTCCTCCCAACCATTAAAATAACTCTCCATACGCTCCTTGAACTGCCTCACGGCGCTGGTTGTGGTGTGATGCTCACCCGCCGTAGTCATCCGCAGCCCAACCAGCGTCTTCGGATTTGAGTCCACAAAGAAAAAGGCGTCCACCAACGGAAAGTTTTGAGCCACCGGTTTGTACAGCACCCGATACTCTATATTAATCTTCTTTTTAAATTTTTCCAGGCACTGGAAAATACAGGGCTTGAGAGGGCGCTCATGTGGATACAATTCCAACGCACAGCGGTGTGGCGGAGCATCTTCTTCTATTTTCAGCTCCCTGAGTTTCGGTATTATTGCACTTACAAAGGCCTCGCTCAAAAAAGTAAACACGGAATGCTTTTCAAGGGGTTTTGATAAGAGATCGTCCTTAATAGCCAATACGAGTAAAATAAAATTATTCGGCGCCATTAACTCCGCCAACTTGCATGTCACTAAATTTCCGAGATAAGGAGACATCAGTGCATTGTAAGGCAATTCTAAATTGCTTCCTCCTCGTACTCGTACGACCTTTACAACTTTGTGAGAGATGTGGTTATCATCGCACACTTCATTAGTCCCCAAAATAGAGTAATAGTGGGTAGCAAAAAGGTTCATTGATTTAACTTTACTTTTGCACGAGACAAGCCGAGATTTGTATTCGCTGTCATCAAAGATGTAGCGAAGAAGCGATCCCACTTTATCCATGCGATCCTTCACCTTCTTCCAGTAGTCCGCTTCTTCCTCCTCAAGCCGCCGATTGCGCTTCATCCAAATGCACATTGCCCTCACATCGCTCTCGTCAGGGCAATTAATTATGATTTTTTCCGCTTCCACCAGCTTCGCCCACGATTCGTAGTTGTTTTTGTTCGGTGATGTCACCACAATCATGCCCCATCCCTCGCAAGGCAAAGCAGTAGACGTTTGATGACCCTTCAATGCCACGTCGTAGATAATATACCCTTTCACCCCACGCCGAGAGAAACTGCGCAAAGTATGCACGATATTAGACGCCGCACTGTATTTTTCCACCGTTTTGGCGGTCTTGTCAAAAAGAAATTTTCGATTCCCAATAACGTACGCAACCATTTGCAGTCGCTTCGCATCGTAGTGCAGCAGCTGGTAGAGGAGGTACGAACCGGCAGCCATCGACTTCCCGATCCCGGGCGTCCCAATCAACATAAACGGATCAGGCGAAAGTTTGTTCTTCTCGTGACTGCTGAACCATCCGGTGAGATCGCCCTTGACGATCTGCCACACTCGATCCACCTCACAGTTCACATAGCAGTCAGGAATAAGTTCATTCAGCCCTTCTCCCCACGTGTACGGCCATCCCTTGTCCGAGGTGAGCACCGTCAGCTTGAGACGCTCTGCGCCGAATTGCTCCACAGCGTCATTCTTTTCGAGAGTGTAGCCAACCGCCTTGTACGACCATGACTGCGGTGCTTCCCCTTCCCTCACTTCCATCCCTATTCCCGTCCCCGTCCCCTCGCCATCAGGAACTTCCACGACATGGTGCCAACTCGCATTGTGCACAGACTCGTAGCATCCCTCCAGGTATATCGGTGCAATTGTCGTTGTTGGCTTCCTCGCTTCATGAAGGGCTGCATCCAATGTGTTTTTATTGTTGTCTCGAGCACATGCTTTTACCTCCTCAGCAGCTAATGACCACCCAAGTAGGTTGTTGACACCATTCTCGTGAAGCCTGCGTACAACTTCTTCCAAATCCATTTCATCCCTTACAGTCTTCTCTATCCTCGCATAGTGACCTGATGCCTGCATTTCGTTCAATACTCCCGCATCGCGGATATACTTCGTGGGATCAATAAAAAACTCCTCCAGTAAGACATTCCGATTGGCGCGCAAAATGCCTCTGCCGTCAAATTCCATCGTAAGAAAATCATTCAGGCTTATGTCGATGAGGCGAACTCTCCCTCCAAACAACAAATCTTCGATCTTAGCATATAAGTTAAATATTACTTGTTGCTGTTCCCGCCTTGCCCTTTCTTCCGCATCAAGCTTTTCCTCTGTCAGTATCTGAATGAGAACTCCATTTAGTTTTCTCCTCGCAAGAGGAGTGACTGTATCCTTTCCTTCATAGTCCCTCCATTGCTCGAGAGAGAGCACATCTTCGTGATGAAGCTTATTAATGGCCTCCAGCTCTTGGTATGACAGCGATGCCTTTATTATGCGTAATAACCTTTCGTTTTGGATAAACATCTCGGGATCCTGAACAAACATCTCCATAGCGACGTTCTCATTGGTGTCCACAACTCCCCTGCCACCCAAGTTGCTCCGAAGGAATTCATTCAGCTTCATGTTGGTGCTGAGAGTGCTTCCCTCCAGCAGGATGTCCTTTACGGTGCTTCTCATGGTCCACTGTGGTCGCCGCGCTTCCTCCAATCCTCTGCGACTCGCAGAGGAGTGATCTGTGTCACCCTCAAATTCCGACCTCGCTCTCCTCCGATCTCCCTGCGGGACAGTAGGCGCTTGAATTTCCTCATTATCGTAAAGTCCTTCCTCGGGCCTTCCAGACATTGTTTCTCCTTGTTTTCTTAGTTGGATTGAGTTAAAGCTGAACAATAACCACCCAAAGAAAAGAATGATAGGCATTAAAAATGCACATACATGACAGAGAGCCACAGCAATTCAGTCATCCACACAGGGTAGAGTAAATATTGAGCTCGAATAATCTTCTTGACCGCTGGCTGGATCCTGAATTTATGTAAAGAAACCAGACAACATAGGAAAAGGGGCAACACATAGGAAGTTAATTTACCACATGTTTTCTCCTGATACTATATATGTATATGTATATATTCTTTTGGCCGCTCACGCAGCCTTTTGTACTCAGATAGGATCTAATATATTTACTGACGAAATGGCAGACTTTGCGGTCCTCCAACCACAAGAACCCGCCGCATGGTGGGAATCAAAAGTGGGTGGATAAGATGGTAAAAATAAAAAACATCTAGCCTCTATCGGCTCCCCGCCCCTAAAGTCGTGTACTTCCCAATATATTCATACGGTAGAAAGCACCAAAAAGAAAAGCATTCAATTATCAGGATTTACGCACATTCATTAAGTATGCCAGACCTCCCGCGATCATTCTCTTCACAGGCTCTTAATAAAATAAAAGCAACAAATCAACCACCCAATCAATCTATGAATGATGGAAAGAGAGAAGATGCCTGCCAGACGCGTCCACGTTATGCCGCATCTGCGAGGGGCTTTTTGTCGTCTCGCCGCGTACGGATACTGTTGGGGGGGCGGAGCCTTTCCACCCCCAAAAGGAGAAACTGCGATAAATTTTTCAAGCAAAAAATCATCATCTCCACATCTCCAGAGGAGCATAATTAATGCTGCAGCTCGCACTGGATGCATGGTCTAACAGGCTCTGTGCATCTGAGCGGGTGTCACCGGCCATGAGCTCCTGCTGTGCGGGTGGTCGGTACGACGACGCAACGGTGGTGCCTAAGGCATACGAAGATGACGTCTTTTCATGGAGCTTCTGCGTCTCCTCGTCTCTCTCCTCGTCATCGCGCAGCAGCGCCTCCAGCCCGCCACGCCGCGGCTCGCGCAGCTCCTGCCAGTGGCAGTCCTCCGCGTGCCACACAACGACGCCGTACACAGTGACCGCAAGCACCACAGCGGTCAGCAGCAGCACGTTCGCCGCGTACGCCCTCGCTCCGCCGTCGCTCGGCGCAAGATGGTTGGCCGCACTCACCACGCACAGCACCGCAAGCAGCACAAAGCTCGCAGTCTGCATCACCGTCAGGAAGGACGAGCGCATCATGTTCGTGAAGGCAACCACGCCCGCACCCGCAAGCAGCACAGCCGCCATGCAGAAGTACAGGACGTGGCAGCCTCCCACGGGCGAGTGCACAGCAGCAATCAGGCCCACCACACACAGCACCGACAGCTGGAACACGCACCAGTACACGTGGCTGCCCCTCATGCTCGTCAGCATGCCGCCGTACATCCGCTGCTGCGCCGCGGGGTGCCAATACCCGACGGGGTACAGCAGGCGCTCGTGCAGCGGCTTCCTCGAAAACTGCCAGTACCTCGTGAAGCTCGCGCCCGTGTAGCGAGCAATGAAGTAGCACACGCCAGCAGGGAACGCCACTCCGTACAGCACGCCAACGACACCGATCACGCGGTGCTGCACGCGGGCGTCGGGCATCGCCAGTGCAAACACGGAGCCGAAGAATATGCCGAGGTGCATCGCGTGAGCCACGACGTACGTCAGGCTCGGGAAGCGCATCGCCGCCCACGCACTCGCCGCGTCCACGCCGCGCCACCGCTGGAAGGCCGCCGTCACACCGTAGTGCACGCAGCCGAACACAGCGGCGAGCAGCGCGTTGCCCACCACCATCCACAGCGGATCAAGGGCAGCGAACACCGGCAGGAAGTGCGGCAGCGCAACGGTGCTCGCACGCTCCTGCGCCGAGGCGCACGACATCCTCGCAAACACGCCGAGCGCCTGCATCTCCAGGACGGAGCCCAGCCCGCCGGTCACCACCACGGCAACAGCCGTCGCACCCGCAACAACGCCGGTGATCGCCGAGAGGGCGCTGGCAGCGGCGGGCAGCGTGTCGGACGCGATCGTGAAAGACCCAAGCAGCACACCCTTGCAGCCGCCAAACACCGCCACAGCGTCGCAGCGAATGACTATCGTCTCGTCGGCACCAATGAAGTAACCGCGGTGCACGGGCACAGCCAGCTCCAGGACGGTGGACGGATTCGTCGCGTTGCGCACCCACGTCGCGTTGCGCAGCATCGCTCCCCACGGACCGCCGAACCCGCGCGGCTGCACCGTCGACACAGGCACGAAGCTCAGGTGCGTGCCGAGCTGCGGTTCGCCTGCCCAGCGAAACGGCGGCGGCAGCGCCACCATCAGCCGTGTCGGGACGGCGCTCCCACCGCCGCGAATGTCGTTCTGCGTCAGGCTCCCACCAGCCGCCGTCGTCGTCACGGCGAGTGTCGGGCACGCCACGTCGCTCCACCACAAAGTGCTGCTCACCGACGCTGTCGGGGTCCGCGTGGGTGACAGCGCTACCGTCTCTGTCACCTGCAGCGTCTCCGTCGGACTGTAGTGCGTCGCGCTCATGCCCGGCGTCCACGTTGGCGTCGGTGTCAGCGTCTCCGTCGGCGCCGCCGTGTGGCTCAGCAGTGGCGGGGCGAGCGTGCGGTTGCACCCGTCCACGTGCGGCAGGTACACCGGCAGGCAGTCGAGCCCGTACCCGTCCTCAGCACAGCGACAGCCGCACGACCCCGACATCGCCCTCGTCGCAGCAGCAAAGCAGCGCACGTCGGCGTCGCACACGCCACACGCCACGGGGCGGAATTCCCCGATGATGCCGGCGGACCTGTATTCCATCGGCTGCAGCGCCTGCCCGTTGAGCGTCAGGCACCCCACGACAAACTTTCCGCCGGCGCCCCCGAGCGCAACGGTGCCGTCCATCACAACGGGCCCGCTGCCAGCGTTCTTGTGAAGCGTCAGCGTGCTCTGCACAAGCTCCGCACTGCGCGGGAACGACGGCACAGACAGAAGTCTGCCGCTGATGCTGTTGCCGCGCACCGACAGCCACGACCCGGACAAAAACGACGCCGACCCCCGCAGCACCAGCAGCGCGCCATCCGTCAGCGCACCGAAGTTGTCATTCACTACGACGACGGACGCGTTGGCCTCCGCCCCGCTGTCGAACACCAATCCATGCGCGGCGTACACCTGGCTCCCCGACACGCGCAGCACAGCGCCCTCCGACGCAACCACGCGCGCACTCGCGTACAACGCATATTCGCCACCGAACACAGCCGCGTCCAGCGCAACACCGCCACCGACAAGCTCCAGCACCGCGCCGTCCACCACCACCGTCCGCCCACCAGTCATCACCGTCACGAGAGCAACGTCGGACACAACCAGCACGGACCGCACGAGCCGCAGGCCCGACAGCACCAGCACCGGTGCGTACGGCGAGGACTGTGAGCCGGGAAGATACACAAGCGGCGTCGGCCTCGCGGAAACAAGCAGGGAGTCCGTAACCGTCAGCACAGACCCCGCGGGATACGTGCCGGTCAGCACAAGCGCACCGTTCAGCGCCTCCACATCGCACACCGACAGTTCCACCGGCCCGCTCTCGTCGCTCCCCGCCGCCACCGCCCAACGCTCCACCACCCATCACGTACAGCACGGCACCGTTCAGCAGCGACACGTTCTGCACAACGATCCGCACGCCGTCCCGCGCCATCCACGGCACGTAGAGCACAGTACTCACGCCGTCCAGCACAACGTGGCGCAGCGTCACCTCGCTCGCGCCGGCAGGCACAACGAACACCGACCGCACCGTCAAGTTCTCGCGGACGAACACACTCGACGCAGTGCCCACAGCGGGCGGCAGCGCGGGAGCTCCCACAGGCACGCACGCCGCGCCGTACCCGCCGCTGCCGCACTCGCACACGCACACACCGTTCCTCATGCTCGCCGTCGCCGTCCCGGGCGCGTAGCAGTACGTGTCCCCGTCGCAGACGTCGCACCCAACAACGTCGATGCGCCCAGCGTCGCCAAAACCTGCCGCTGCGTACTCCTCCGCCGTCGACAGGACTCGCCCACCAGCGTCGTTGCACGCCGCCCTCAAATGCGCCCCAGCCGCAAGCGACAGGCTCACCGACAGCATCCGCGGCAGCAGCGCTCGGTTGCGCACAAAGCTCAGCGTGCTCCCAGCAGCGGTCACAGCTCCAGCGGCGTAGAGCATCTCCCTCGAGACGCCGTCGTGCACGTTGCCCTTCAGCAGCAGCATCGACCCGCCGGCCAGACTCACCGTCGAATAAAGCGCCACCGCGTAGTCCTCCGTCGACGCAAAGTCGCTCCGCACAAGCGCCACGGCGGAGCCCGACACGCTCACAGCCCCGCGCACAGACACCGCGTGCTTGCACAGCAGAAAGTCGCTGTCAACAAACGCCACCACGGAGCCGCCGCTGGCCGCGACACCGCCCTCCACCGACACGCACAGCCCCAGCGCCGTCTGCACCGACAGCCCGTCCAAGTACAGCGCACCGCGCGACGACAGCGCCATGCCGCCAACAACCAACACGCCAACAGCGTCGCGGAACACCGCCGCCACCTGCGTGCGCGCAATGGTCAACACGCTCCCCGTCAGATTCACGTTGTGCACCACAAGGCACGCGGACGCATCGCCAAGGTCGTAGGCGCCGCGGTACGCAACGCGCTTCTCTGCAATCAGCACCGAGTCCACCACAGTGACGCGCGAGCCCGACGGAAATCGGTTCGCCACCACCACGCCGCCGGAGCGCGACTCAAGACCGCTGATCAGCACATCGGCACGCTGGCCAGCAGGCGGGTCGGACCGCCACCCGACAACGTACAGGCTCGCTCCGCCCACAAGCGTGCAGTTCACCAGCGTCACGTTGCGCACGCTCCCCGACATCAAGCCCACGTCCACCACGACGTCCGCCGCAAAGGTCACACACACGTAGCACACCACCGACGTCCCGAAACCGGCGTTCACCTCCACATC